TTTATTCATTTTAATTCATTCAGAATTAAAAAATAAATAAATGTTATTGACCTGGAAGAACTGATCAGAGGTGTAAACTACTTACATAAACGTGTGTGCAGTAATCTATTTATGGTGTAAATGTGAAAAAAGTACATTTCTGCATTTAGCTTTGGTCCAGACAACGCTGAAGCACTATGTGTCTGATCCTCTGTGGCACAACCCATATGCTAACGTAAAGGCTTTTGTGTGGCTGGCCAGAAAGCTAACCAGGGAAAGAAAAGATGGAGATTGTGGAGTCCAGTATACATTTCTATTTGGTAGTAAGGAAAACCACCAAGCACCGTCTCTCCTCCCTCAGGGTTAAATTCGCTTCTGTTTAGGGAATAGAAATAACTTCTGTCATGTTACGAGCTGGCTAGTGGTGAAAGGAAATGCAGGAAGGTCCAGTCATGTGCTGTTTAATTACAGCTGTGTAAGGCAGAATCAGGCCCAAGGAATTGGAGTGGATGGGGCTCTGCTCCACTTTCCCATAGTCAGGTTTTCGACATGGGCTTCCCAAAAAACGGAACCATCTGTTTTTTTATCCTCTCACCCCTCCTTATGGGGCTCCCATGTTTTGATGGCTAAAATCCTGATTTCTGAGTTTAATTTTGTGAGCAGTTGTGACAGGATATGTTGTGAATAAATGTGTGAAGAGCACCAAGAACTGTCTGCTAAGCCCTCAGGGTGGGGAATGGATGCACACAGAGGAAAAGGCTTTTGGCTTGGGAAGTGCCATTCAGCCACACAGAACAGAACTGTATCTTGCATGGGCGTAACCTACTGTGTTATCCCAGTCCCCAGGGAAACAGTGTCAGTGCTTTGTTTACCAGTGGTTCTGATCACCTTCAACAACCTTTAATTAAAAGTATAAAACAGATGCTTACTGGCAGTTGGCAAATGAAACCTGCAGTTTTTCCTTCTCTTTTGGAGCTCCTGCTGCAATGCTATGCTGAGCTTCTGAGCTGCAACCTAAAGGTGCAAGTGAGTTTTTTGTGATTTGACTTAAAGGATTGCTTAAAGACATGCAGCAAATAAGTGATTAAAAAAAAAAAAAAAGTGATGAGTTTCAGATGAGGTCTTTCACTGTTAGCTGCTGTAACCATTTTTCATAGTCAAAGAATTATGTTTGAATCTAATACTGCATGCTGCTTACTAACTGCAAGACCCTATTAAAAAAATAAACTAAATACAGTAGAGAATATATATATATATATATATATATATATATATATATATTTTTTTTTTTTTTTCCAGCGTATAGAAAAGCAATGAGCCATTTTAAGAGCAGGAAGAACATGCATTTTGAGATCCAACAGGTCATCTAAATTAGTCCCAAACCAAGTTTTAAAGTGGCATTGCAAAGACTTCTGCTCAGAATAAATTTAGCATTACAAAACTCAGAATATAAATAAAAATAAATCAGATGTCTGTTGATTATTTTGTACGTAAACATATTCTGTTCATAGAATCATAGAAGGTTGGAAAAGGCCCCCCAAGATCATCTTGTTAAATCATCCTACTACCAATGTCACCCACTAAACATGTCCCTTAGCACCAGGTCCAAACTTTCCTTAAACACCCCCAGGGATGGTGATGCCACTACCTCTGTGGGCAACCCATTCCAACGCCTGACTACTCCTTCTGAGAAGAAATTTCTCCTAATTTCCAGACTGAACCTCTCCTGGCTCCCCTGAGGTACCTTGATTAACTAGAAAAAATAGTGCTTACTGTATGTGACTTGAACAGTTCTAACTGTACAACCTAAAGATGAAAAACTAACATCTATATCCTTTTGGCTACTTCCATCTAGCTTTTTACTATGAATAAACTTTGTGAATTTTTAGGTAATGTAAATTTTAAAGCCTAATTCTTTATTTTCTGACATCTGTATGTTTGAAATTTGGATTAGTGAATCTAAGATTTCGCACTTGTCTGACTTCCTGTAGCTTTGGCTAGATGGTGAATTATTTTAGACTGCCACATCATATATTTTCAGTCCAGACTTGTCTTCTCAATAGTGTACCTAGCAGCCAGAACAAGCCTGTATGAATCCACTTAATGTGAACACCTCCTGGTATCAGTGCTGTAGATGAAAACAGTATTAGACAAATGGCCACTGTTCAAGAACTGTCTTTTGTGATGACAAAAGATTGCACTGTTTTTATCTTACTTCTCTACTTTTCATAAAATGATGGTGCTGTGGTAAAGGCTTGTAAACCTCGCTAATGTTCTCCATTCCCATGCTGCCCTCCAGTGCTTTCTGTGCTGCATAGTGGCTTTCTTGCTCTGGGTGGAGCCAAAGTGCAAATACGGAAGTAGGTCTCTAACAGTATTTTTAGTATCCTCTCCTGGACTGGAAGTTTCAGTGTGTTAACCAGTCTTCTGGAAAATTGAAATACTTCACTAAGAATAAAGTTTCTGTAACCTAGGCTTGAATTTGGGAGTTAGAGGCTGCACAAGGAATGCAAAATGGAATCCAGAGTGCTTAATCACAGATGCTACGAATGGATTTGTTTTGCTGTTCTGTTTAAATCTATCAGATTGCATATGCAATTATTTGCTAAATTATCCTAACCTTACTGGGTATACCGTATTTTCTTGAATTAATTATTTTATCTACAAAACAGTTTGCAATAATGAGGATCACATAACAACAACAACAACAATAAAACCTCTCTTGGTCTTTCAAAACTTCTTACATAATGATTTTTTTTTTCCTCCAAAGTTTCCCCGTCCAGTGTTCTACAGTGTGTTGTCTGAAACAGTATGTGCAAGCAGGTATGATCTAGTTGAAGTGCTCGTTGAAGGGACCAATGCATGTAAGGTGCAACTCTTACGGTACCAATTGTTAAACCTAAACATACACTTTAGGTGTAATGAATAGAGATGTCTACTTTTTCATTACAAAAATACCTTTTATATCAAAAGTATTAATAGTAGAATTTAGGTGGTAGGTAATTCTTGGCGTTAGTGAATTTAGCTTAAAATATGCTTCGATATCTTTGTTTAGCCTAAAATATGCTAGTGGCAGGGGAGGGGGAACATGATGACTTGAGAAATATTCCAATTCAGTTTAACTTTGGTTCTCTTTTGTTCACAATTCTACGTTATTTGTCAGCGTAATTTAGCTTGCCTTTGCACATACTTTCTAAAGAATTCTTTGAGTAATAATATTAGGTGTTCTTTCCATTTCAGTGAAACGTAGAGCTTCTCATTTTACTAATTACCAAGGTCAGTATAGATTACATGCGTCATATTTTGGATCCTCTATGTTCTACTGTCAGCTCAAGTCTGGATCTTTAGATTCTTGAATTAAGACAGTGTTAATCCCTATTCATTTTATTCTTCTCTACTATATAAAAAGCTGCACCATTTAAACTTACAAAATCTCATTTTCTAGCTCTGCTTTTCTGCTGCAGTTTCACCTTGTGGTTTCGCTTTCACTGCACTGTCATATCTTTGTAAGCATTCAAGTATGTGCTTTACTGGCATGGAATTCCATTATGATATTTTAATTTAAGGAAACTGTGACAAAATCTCTGACTGAAACTTTCTTGAAACTTGACAGCTAATATTTGGACTAATGTGTTAGATGTTCTCAAAGATTGTATCAGTGAGCATCTTGACAGTGACCACTTCCTCTTCTCTTCACAGTGTGCAAAATAGCACATTTTTCCATTTGGGATTATAACTTACTCTATGATAACTACTCTAGGCACTGGTTACGTAGAAAGACAGTACTAAAAAGGCATCTGTGAAGTAGGGTTGTTAAATTTACTTGAGAAAATTAAACTTTCCTGTCTTTGTTTTGGCACCTATTTGTCATTTCAGTTCTTGTGCTCCTGGATCCTTATCCCTACTGCTTTGGCCCTGTCCTTTTCCAGTTCCTTGAACAGGTGTCCTGTCATTTAGATTTACCTACATTCCTTGCTTTTTTTCTTTGATAATTATGCTACTCTCCATCTCCTCTTGTTTGTTGTGGAGGAGAGTCAACTATTTTTATTCCTTATTTCTAAAGGCTTTTATGCGTATCAAGGCTTTTTAATTGCTGTTAGCAGTAGAGCTGCTTACAGAAACAACTATATGGAAATAGTAGTCAGCATCAAGTGATCTATGGATTTTTTCCAGACACCAGCAACTATTTGCCTGACCTCAATTTGAGAACTGTTGAAATTGCATTAAGAGAATGATAAAGTTGCATCCCTGAGCATTTATATAGCAGGAAATGAGAAAACAAGGGATATTACATATACTATCTGGGCCATTAGAATGCTTGTTCAACTTGTGAGTTTTCTTTTTCTTTTGGAACTTTGTAGAGTTTCTAAAGGCAGATAGAAAGCAGTCATGTAATGCAGAACAGTTAGGTGAGGTTCTCTATTAAGACACTTCAGTGTATGAAAATCTTTGAAATATTCATAGTTATATGCAATAGAAAATTGTGCTTACTATAGAAAAGTACAATAAGATCCATTTATTAAGAGACTTATGAGAGATACTCTGGAGAAAAGTGGAAAGCCTTATCGTTGACCATTTGCTGTATCTTTGTTAAATAGTTCTGTTTCTGATATATGTCCAAATCTGTGTACTGACTGTAGTATTGAGCCACCTCATGGCTTTAACAGTTAAACTGAAAACAAGATACAGAGCACTATTTTCAATGAATTATATATTTAATAGGTCATTTTTGTGTGTGTGTGTGTGTGTGTTATATATGCATATGTCAAGATCGGACTCTCTTAGTGTCATGCTTAAAACTTTGACTCTTCTACTTTATTCTGTTTATGCTTTGGTGCTAAAACTGCTTTATTTTTAATTACATTTTAACAACTAGAAGTGTCCCTTTGGTCCGAGATACAGGTGGAAAATCTACATTAAAAAAAAAAAAAGTTTCCTAGGTGACGCAAATTAAGTAAAATAAATAAAATATGTTGTTCACCCTTACTAACACCTAAATGCGTTTCATTTACTTACTGTAGGTTGATGCCTTGCGGTTACGATTGGAAGAAAAAGAAACGTTTCTTAATAAGAAAACAAAACAACTTCAAGACCTCACAGAAGAGAAAGGAACCCTAGCTGGAGAGATTCGAGATATGAAAGACATGTTAGAAGTAAAAGAAAGGAAAATTAATGTCCTTCAAAAAAAGGTAGGATCATTGATGAAAGGATATGTTGTAAAATTTCTGAGACACATATAAAGGAAATGCACTTCTTAGAGCATATTACCTTTAAAATATTAAAAAAAGTGTGGAGTACGTCTGTAACAGTTAAGTAGTTCTGTAATATAGATGTGTTATCTTCCACGGGATTGTTTCTACAGTGTTATATTTTAATTGTATTACAAAAATACTACGTTCTGCAGTTTTCACAGAATTCTTGGAGTTAAACGGAAGTCCTAACAATTCTGACAAAACCTACTCCTCACTGTGAGGGATTCTGTTATCCTTACTAACACCAAATAGTATTCTTTCCAGATAATTCAAATAAAATGTGTGGGACTACTAAAAGATTAGTATACTGCATTTTTCTTTAAAGACATTTTGGTGGAGAGGGAGGGAAGGAAGTGGAAAAGGAAACTAAATTTAAGTAAATTTTCTGCTTTTCCTATGCATGATAAGCTATAGACATTGAGAATGGAGGCTCTCTCCAGTAATCCAAACTTTTCTTTATTAGCAATGATGATGATAGATATACTATTCTACAATGTCATGGTGGTTTTTCTCAATGACTCACATAAGGTTCACATTCTTTATCCATGCTTTTGTCTGTGTTTGGCTAAATACATGAGTTTAATAAACCCAAGTCCTTATTTTTCAGAAACAGAGAAGGTCTTAGGTACCCATCCAATTTAATCTTGTTCTGGAATCTCCTTCTGAATATTTGCATTTTTAGCAATGCTGATGATATGAAAAATAGCAAATATTAAGCCTTTTTTTGTTGTGCTGAATGCTGTTTAATTTTGGACATCACTTCAGAATTTTGCAGAAAATAATGCATCTTTTCTAATGGTTTGTGTTTTTTAATCAAACCAAGAATTTACAATTGGTCTTGTATTTAGATCAGGAGGAGGGATTTGGATTCATTGATAAAAAATTGTGTGATGAGTAATAATCCATCACAGAGCTGTAGTCATTGTCTGCCATGGCTAGTAATATGCAACAGGGTGCTTTTTTCTGTTTTTAACACATCATGGTTATTTTATTATGGCTTGCAGATGGTCTTGTTGCTTTTGCATCTGACTTCTTAATGAAAATAATCACTCTCAAATTATGCTATCTCTGCTCACTAAACGCTGGATTAAACACATTATGACCTAGTGAGCTCTGGTCTACCACGTGATAAATCCTGCTAATAACTAAGTGCAAAATGAGAGCACTAAATTATTCTTTAAGATTGGGATTGGCATCTGAATATTTCAGAGGTTTTTATCCTGGTAAATATGCTTCATCAGGGAGCTGTGGAAGTTCAATTTTATTTTATTTGCTATTGGCTAAATAGTGCATATGAAGAATGAATCATTTATTACAAAAAAAAAAAAGTTAATTTGCATACTTTGACATTATTTATCATGTTGTACTTACATGTAAATTTGTTTCTCTGCAATACTTTGAGTAACATTATCATAATATATAGGTGTTAGCATACCCCAAAATAATATTATCAGGTCATTATTACACCATTTAATTTCAATATGAAAATAATACCGTATTGGAAAAAATATTTTTAGGTCACATTTTCAGCTTTGGGCCATTATTTTGCTTGTGCGTTATTGCCAATATGTTAGGGGATAAATTCACTTGCAAGTGATTTAAGTAGAGAAAAATTTGATATAAACATTGCCCTGCTCTAGTCACTCTTGTTTACACTTCCATGCTCTATATTTTTTTTAATTTAAAGCATGTTTTCATTGTTTATTTTTCATGTGTCTAGTGTACAAACACAAAATAGTAAATTCTGTATGTCACCAGTGCAAATCAGGCTTTGAAATAAAGCTGAAAAAAGTAAAAATCTATTTGCTTAGCTATTCAATCCCATTTTGGCAGTGCTTCTCAAGATCACGATTTCTCGTGGTTATCCTTCTTGAGCATCCCACCATTCTTGGCAGTAGGTACAAGTTCATCCCAGGACTATAATGCTTGCATATAGAAGGGAAATGTTCTATGAGTTTCTCTCTCTCTAGTGTTTTCAAGTGTTCTAGTTTCTAGTGTTCTCTCTAGTGTGTCAAGGCATTAGTGCCTTGATATTAAAGAATGCTAGATGTGTTCACACTCACTATGTGAACTAATGCAACGCAGGGCATTCATATTTCATAGTCTTTATGTTCTATCAAAGGCTAAAGGAGCACAGCTCCTTTTTGGCCAGAGATTGTTCATTTAGTCGTGTTATTTCAAAAATATGTTGGAGTGTGTATAGTCGTAAGTCCCAGTGCTATAGTATTCTTTTGTAATATTTTTGAGCGGTCATTTTGCACAGATACTCAAGTAGTCTAGTAGTGGATGCTGTGTTTTAAGAATAAGGTTCTCTGATGTACCTCTTCTCTTCCCAGTCTTGACAGCTTACCTTTCCAATGACAACCATATATGAGTATATTTTGCTGGAAAAATATATACTATCTATTGATTGCAGTCACTTTATCTTTTACATGAATCTCAATAAGAATCCTTTATGTCTTGCTGGATTGCATGTGTCTCTTCCATTTCTCCAACTTTTGCAAATTGCATATGGAAAACGATGAGGAGTTGTGGAAAGCGATGTGGACCATCCTATACTAGGAGCTGAAACAGTTGGGCCCTCTAGTGGATTGCAATTTCTTTACATACCTTCCAATAGGTCATTGTACCAGTCGATACATTAGTCTTACGAAAGCCCTTTTGAAAGTGAAAAGAATTGCTTCTAGTTTTTAGGTTCCTCCTGGGCATTAGATTCTTCAGTCTGTAATATTATAATATGTCTCCATTTGTTTTTTTCTATGCATGCAGGGCCAAATTTTATCTGTGTATTTTTACTTTTGATTTAAGAACATGTGAATAACCAGTTATTTTGCTGCCTTCATTTGTTGATGCAGGATAGATGGCTACATCTCTCTTCACTCAGCCTAAAATAATATTTATTTTAATGGTTGTATTGAAGTAATTGAGGAAGGAAGAATTTGTATATATTTGTGTATATATATATAGTTGTGTGTATATATATATATATATATATTTGTATATAAATTATTTATGTCAGTAATAACCTGAAACTGAGTAGGAAGAAATATGTAACTTAAAAAGATTCATTGTTTCATTCTATATTTTTTCTCTTGTATACATTACTGTTATCTGACATGGTGAAAAACACAAAAGAGACCAAATCAAAACTAGGAAAGCTTACCTGAAAGATTGTATTGTTTCTTCTTCTTTTTGGATAGCTGTTTTACTTACAGGATAGGATACCTTCTGAGGAAGGCTCCCTAACTAAGATGTGAAGGAAACAAAAACATTGGCAAGAAACCAGCCCTTATGAGTCCTATAGGATAGCATGGGAACATACATAAGGTGACTTGTTGCAGGAAAGAGTAATGGGTGAGCTAATTATGCATTGTCCTTCCATGCAGTGATTTTGGTGTAATTTTTAACCAAATTAAAAAAAAACAAACAAACAAACACCACTGTGTTTAGTATAATTTGTAGGCTTAAAGGAGGCCCAACCCTGGAACAGCAAGCATTTAGAGGATTTGGATCAAGGTAGATTGGCATAGAGTAATAATAAACTTATGTCAATGTCAGAGGTGCAATATTACTTAATATTTCTTTCTTTTAGAATCTTTGGCACCACTGTTTCATTTTAGTGCCAGTAAAGTTGGGTATGCTGTTTTAATAGCCTTGTTTAACCTGGCAAAGCTAGTCTTACACCTCATATCTGTCAGTTTAGCATGCAGAGGGGCAGACCTCAGAATTCTTTATGTATTTCTTACCAGAATGTACAAGTTCTATGAATACGGCTGAGGTGTAGATTGAGGGGCAAAAGTGCTGAACTGGATGCCAATTCTTTCATACCCATTTTTGCTCCCAAATTTTCTCTTTCATACAGTGACTATAACTGGTGTGTTTTGTCCTGTAGGAATTTGGAGATATTTAAATACGTGTGCACACAGACGTTTATTTGTGTTGAAAACAGTAGCTGTTGAGACAAGAACAGAATGGAGGATGTAGAGCTGGATCATATTAGGACAACAGCTTGTGGAAATTCTTTTGTGGGGGTTATTATAAAAGCGCACCATGTAAAGGGGTCCAATATAATATTCTAATTTGAATTGCAACACAACTTTTTGTGTAAAATGTTACAGTTTCCATCTTAATAGTTTAAGCCTTGTGATTGATGAAGTGCTACATGACTGAGGGCCCTAATCTACCAACTAATTAGCATTTGTAGGAAATGTCATGAAGTCTTAGCTCTAATGTAATAATTGGAATTTGTACTTGGAGTGGCTGGACTGCGCACACTGTGATATTGTCCAGTTTGTGATACAATAAATTGTACAACACATTTTAATTTATGTCTTACTGTTAACCATCTTCCAAAAATAGTAAATTTACATATTGTCAGTTTGGGAGTGTACTAATACAAACAAATTATTTTTAATCTTGTATTTAGAAATTTGCATCAGTATTATCACTTGACACAGGAATTCTGGCTGAGAACACCACTTACATTGAAACTTTTAAAACCAGAATGGTCCAGGAGAGAGAGCAATTTCCTTCATTTGCTCTTAGCATGTAGAAAGTACCTTGCAGACAGAAACAACATTTGACTTTTTCGTAGTTTAATCAGTTAATGGTCATCCAGGGTGTTGTTACTGATCCCAATGCATTCTCATAAAAATGGATATGCAGTGATTCTGTAACAGAATGTAACAGAATGTTACAGAATTCATTCTGTAACATTCTGTAACAGAATGTTACAGAATCACTGTACAGAGTGCAGCTTTGATCCCCTTAAACTTTGGAGGTGGTACACACTGAAGCTGGGTGAATAAATAATAATAAAAAAATCTCGAATCAAACCAGTGCATCTCTTTGGATGCTCGTCACCTGTATACTGAGAAACTGAGAACATCATTAAGATCAGAGACAGTGATCATTTTCATTTTCTTTAAACTGTCATT